TTTATAGAATAAGTTAAGTGGGAGCTCGATAGTGTTTTTGATCTTGTATGTGGATGACAAACTGTTGATCGGAAATGATGTTTCGATGTTGAATTCGGTCAAGGGATCATTGAATGGCAAGTTTTCGATGAAAGACCTTGGTGAGGCAGTGTATATTTTAGGCATCAAGATCTATAGAGATAGATCGAGGAGGCTGCTCGACTTAAGCCAGAGCACGTACATAGATAAAGTGTTGAAGTGGTTCAACATGAGTGAGGCGAAGAAAGGGTTCTTGCCACTCTCACATGGTATAAGGCTAAGCGAGACTCAGAGTCCATCGACATCTAACGAGCGAAGCAGGATGAGTAGGATTTCGTATGCCTCGGCAATCGGATCCATCATGTATGCCATGATATGTACAAGGCCTGATATGTACAAGGCCTGACGTTGCTTTTGCAATAAGCCTAACAAGTAGATACCAGGCCAACCCAGGTGAGAGTCACTGGGCAGCGGTAAAGACTATTTTGAAGTACCTAAAAAGGACTAAAGAGATGTTCCTAGTTTATGGAGGTGACGAAGAGCTCGTCGTAAGGGGTTACGCCGACACTAGTTTCCAAACCGACAGAGATGATTGTCGATCACAGTCCGGATACGTGTATGTCCTGAACGGAGGAGCAGTACACTAGATGAGTTCCAAGCAGGATACGGTGGCCGATTCTACCACAGAAGCCGAATACATTGCGGCTTGTGAAGCTGCAAAGGAATGTGTTTGGATCCGGCATTTTTTTGGATGATCTTGGTATTTTCCCAGCCTCGGTGAAACCGTTGGACCTTTATTGTGATAATTCTGGTGCCATCGCACAAGCCAAGGAGCCGAGGAATCACCACAAGGTCAGGCACATAGACCGGAAATATCACCTAATACGAAAGATCGTAAAGAATGGTTATGTAGAGTTATGCAAGATTCACACGGATGCAAATGTTGCAGATCCGTTGACTAAACCGCTTCCACAACCCAAGCATGAGGGGCACGTTAGAGCTATGGGCATTTGATGTCTATTTGATTGACTCTAGTGCAAGTGGGAGACTGTTGGAGATATGCCCTAGAGGCAATCATGTATGTTGATATTTCCGATGTGTTTATGAATAAAGATAGTCCTTGGATATTATCAATGATGTGTATCAGCAAGTACGTGACTTGTTTGTGGGACTATGCATTGTATGATGACTTTCCTAAAAGGTCCCTAGTCGAAAGGGCTGTGTGGACGCGCAGCCGACTAGACTAGCATATGACACGGTCGATGGCTTGGTCTCACTAGCCATGGAGCATTGGATGCTAACCGGATAATATGGACTTGGAAAGGTCTGTTCGAATTCGACGTAGTCGGATCCGAGTCGAGATAAGGTCCGAGTCGTACAGACCCAACTATGAGACGCAGCGATATGTCATCTGTGAGTCTCTAGTACAACATACATTCTATGTCCTAAGACCTGAGCTGACGCATGCACTCGGGATGGTGACAGACTTGCTTTGGGCCGACCAAACGCTACTCCGTGACTGGGTAGTTACAAAGGTAGGTTTCGGGTTTGTCCAGTCCCATGCTGCGAGACATGGTCGAGCAAGATGGGATTTGCCCCTCCGATCAGGAGAGATATACTCTGGGCCCCTCGTGTGATCCGACCAGGATAAGCATGGCCATGCGACAGGGATTATGAGATAATCCTGTTTGTGGTCTGCATCACTAGAACGAGAAAGAGGTCGGGCTAGCATAAGGATGACAGTATCGCCTTGAGCCTGACAACATATATCGTGAGGCAAAGGGAATAGAAGTGTGACATGTTGTACAGTTCGCCTAACCAGCTTCATAGTCTGCTTGGTGGTCGGCACACCTTGCTAGAGGCCGCTACCAACCGTGCAGGTCGGAGGTGATCCGAACTGCAACCAAGCCGACTTGAAACTAAGGGGTCGCGCGCTTAAGGGAAGGAACCTACGAGGTCGGATACGAGGACACTGGTCGGATGTGATCCGATCTGTATTCGGATTGTGGCCGAGTAGACTTGTGGGCTTTAGGGTCCGTGTGAGGCCCAAGTGTTGAGCCTGCGACGGACGCCTATATAAAGTGGAGGTGCGGCACACTCATGCGGTTGATCGCTTCGACGCTGCGACTAGGGTTTGCATGTGTTGCGAATAGCCACCTCCACTCGCCGCCGACTGTGTGATCGGACCTAGCAGTCCGCCGCACGGTGTTCCTCCTGCACGCGCGGATACCGTTAGAGGCGGTGCACTTGCGCCGCTCCGGCAATCTTGTATGTGGGATCGGACGACCGGCTGTTCGAGGGAGATCGGACGAGGAGGAGACGATCCATGTAGACGCGCTGCCCCAACTCTTCTTCCGCTGCACGGCACTGCGCGTCTAGTGGTAATGATCTATGATCCATCTCCTGTAGCATGTTCTTGGTTGTTCTACGTGTAAGAATTTTTTAATTTGCAGTCGACGCACCCTACGGTAGAACCCAACAGGGGCGTCCTTTCTGATGTTGCTGTCCAAGAATATGCAGCAGCTTCTATGTCTCCACTTTCCGCTCCATTTCAGACTCCCCATATATTCCCGTTAACCTCCAGACTCGTCCATCTTCCTCCGTGACATCCACATCAACATGCCTTCTACCATAAAATCTTAGAGCTACATTCACCCCCTCCTCTACAACAGCGCCACGCCTCGGTTTCGCCCTACCGGGTTCCAAGCAGTCATATTAGCCAAGCCCAGCGACCACCGAAACCTCTCCAATTCCTTCTCCGTTAGTTTAGTCTCCACCAAGAACAGAACATCGGGCTCCTCCGCCCTCCCCAAGTCAAGGAGGCTACGAACTGCCTGGCCGTTCCCGAGCCCCCGACAGTTCCATCCGATAAGTTTCATGGCGCCCGGCGGGGCTGCTCCTGCAGCCCGGCCGATAAATCTTCATTTGCAGCTACAATTGTGGTGTCCGTCGCCAGAATGACATCCTAAACCATCTCATCGACCTTCCCCCTCTTTCCTAACTTCTCTACTTCCTCCTCCACCCTATCCCTCTTGCCTCCCAAGATCGAAGCCACCTCCTTCCCTTCTCCTCCCAGAGCCCTATCCCTGCCCTTCTTCTTGTATCTCCTCCCACCCGACGCTTTGTCTCTCTCCCCTAATTCGTTCGTCGCGCCAAGCCTCTTGTTCTTGATCACAGACCCCGGCAACCCCTTGTGCTGGTTAGGAGCCTCGGCCGTAGCCGCCTCTTTCTATTCAGAAGAACCATCCTGCAGCACAAGTGGCCCCTATCCAAGCTCCAACTTCCTAGCATTACCTTTGCCACTCATCACGTGAGCTTTCTTGATAGGGCTTGTAACTTCCTCCTCCCTCCCTCCCTGTCCTCCCATCCCCTCCTCCACTGGATCGAGAATCACTTTTCCTCCAGGACAAACTATCACTCCCACCACTAGACCATCCGCTCGACCGGCTAAAGCCGTAATTACGGGGCCCGCTAGAGCTTCTTCCTCCACTCCTCCATGGCCGATCCTCCGTCCACCCTTTGCGATGGCCTACATCAGCCCGAAGCCACCGTCTAAATTGTGATTGTTCTCCCTTTTTCAGCTTAATAGTGCAGTCCTTCTCTCCATGACCAATAATCCCACAAGTATAGCAGAAATCCGGCAGGTATTCATATTCAAGACGACACCAGTCTTTGTCCTCCTCTTCCTCTCCACTCTCCATGGCTACCTTCCCGTTATCAGCATCCCCTTCCCTATCATCCTCCTCGTCCAGGGTGAAACCCCTCATTAATGGTTTGTCAATTTGCATCCTAATTTTGATCCGCAAGAACCTGCCAAACGCTTTCCCATCTGCCCCAGTGTCCGCCTCCACGTACTCACCAATAATGTTTCTAATGCCCTCGGCGGACTCCTCGTTCATCATACTGAGAGGTAGGTTATAAACCCTAACCCAGATTGGGATGTTGTTGTGGGCATAGTCCTCTGGTCTTTTACTCGGCACATAATCCTCTACCACCACAAGTTCTTTGTCAAACATCCATGGCCCATCCTTAATCGCCTTGCGGTTACCTGACTCCTGATGGAACGTGAAGAGGAACTGATTGACACCTATGTCCTTGCAGTCGATCCCCTTGATCGGACACCAAACCTTGCCAAGGGAGAAGCAGATCGCGTCCCGGTGAGCCAATCTCTCAGACATGACCTTGCCAACCGCCTGCATCGCCGACTCCTTCCCTTTCTCCTTAGATGAGATCCTAACCTTCACTCCCTTCTTCTCCTCCTCCGACAACTTCAGCCCCTTCAGCATCCCGGCCACACCATCCAGCGACATGATTCCTCCACCCCGCACACACCCCCCGCCCCCTCCTAGGTTTAGGTGTTTTACGACCACGCGCCCTAAGGAAGCGCGCAGAAGGACTATGGTGGATGGGACGTGGATGTGGATGGAGGAACACGACCACGATGGAGTCAGAGAGGACTAGACGGCGGCGGATCGCGAAGAACCCTAGGCAGAGAAGACCCGATCGCGATCGCCCTAGCAATCGCCTCCGGAATTCCTGGACAAAACGCCAACCGTCACTCTACGGCACGGACTCCTTGCAGAGGAAACGAGCGAGGGTATCCACGCCACCTTGGTAAGCCTGCTGAATGGTTCAACGACATGTCTTAACAATGAGTGAGTGAATCCATGCCGTTGAATTCGGAAAATGAATCTGACCATCCATGGTACCAAACCCGGCCAGGGGCAACGTGGACCTCTTGTCGCAACACGATTATTCTCTCCACTACTGCAGAGAAGACGGGTTCTGTTTGCATGTAATGCGTGCGACGTATGCATGACAGCGACGACTGGTCGCCTATGCATCGCTGCGCTTAGTTACCTCGGGAGGGGAAGAAAAATCAAAAGAATCATCTTCAGCCACGTCCGATCGTACGTCCGTCGGTCGGCGTGGTTGGTAAGACGGGCGGTGCGGATTTGCAGCGGGCACGGAATGGATCACAAATGTATGACAGATATAGACATTATAAGGAGCACGACACGATACACCATAACGGCAAGGTAGTTAAGCTAGGAAGAGTCAGGAGAAGAGGCATCATGGACCAACTCGGAGTGGTCTCGGACAGTGTAGCGCCATGGCTTCTGGCCTCGCTCCTCGCCGCCGTCGCCTTCTTCCTCCTCAAGCTCGTCAGACATGGCGGCAAGCAGGGCCGCCTTCCCCCGAGCCCCATGGCACTTCCGTTCATCGGCCACCTCCACCTCATCCGCCCGCCTCCCCACCGCGCGTTCGACCGCATCATCAACCGCTACGGCCCGCTCGTGTACCTCCGCCTCGGCCCCTCCACCCACTGCGTCGTCATCGGCTCGGCCGACGTCGCCCGCGAGGTCCTCAAGTTCGAGGGGAGCATCCCGGAGCGCCCGCTCACGGCGGTCACGCGGCACCTCGCCTACGACTCGGCCGGCTTCGCCTTCGCGCCCTACGGCCCGCACTGGCGCTTCATGAAGCGCCTCTGCATGTCGGAGCTGCTCGGCCCGCGCACCATCGAGCAGCTGCGCCCGGTCCGCGCTGCCGAGCTCGCGGGCGTCATGAGCGCCGCGGCAGAGGCGGCCGCCAAGGGCAAGACCCTGGACATGAGCAGGCAGCTCATTCGCATGTCCAACAACGCCATCATGAGGATGGTGGCGAGCGCGCTGCCGGGCGACATGGCCGACACGGCTCGGGACTGCGCCAAGAAGGTGGCGGAGCTGGTGGGCGCCTTCAACTTGGAGGACTACGTGGCGCTGTGCCGCGGCTGGGACCTGCAGGGGCTGGACCGGAAGACGCGCGACGTGCGCGACAGGTTCGACGCGCTGCTCGAATCCATGATCGGGACCAAGGAGAAGGAGCGGCGTGAGGAAGCAGACGAGACCGAGACCAAGACCAAGGACTTGCTTGACATTCTCATGGACGCGGCGGCGGACCCGGCCGCCGAGGTCAAGCTCACCCGGGACAACATCAAGGCGTTCATCATCGTGAGTGCTCCACTCTGTTCTCATGGATTAAATTGAGTTGAGCGCAGTCTCGGATAATGGTTGCTAACAACCTACTCCTATGAAACAGGACATCTTCACTGCCGGGTCGGACACGACAGCCACCACCGTGGAGTGGATGCTGGCAGATCTGCTCAACCACCCGGACTGCCTGCAGAAGCTGCGGGCGGAGCTGGATGCCGTGGTGGGCAGGTCCCGGGTGGTGGGCGAGCCGGACGTGGCCCAGATGCCGTACCTGCAGGCGGTGCTCAAGGAGACCCTGCGGCTGCGGCCGCCGGCGGTGTTCGCACAGCGGGAGGCGATCGAGCCCATACACGTCCGTGGGTACACCATCCCTGTCAAGACGTCGGTCTTCTTCAACATCTTCTCCATCGGGCGCGACGCGGCGTACTGGGAGGAGCCGCTCGAGTTCCGGCCGGAGCGGTTCATGCCCGGCGGCGCCGGCGAGGCCGTGGACCCCAAGGGGCAGCACATGCAGCTCATGCCGTTCGGGAGCGGGCGGCGCGCGTGCCCCGGCATGGGGCTGGCCATGCAGGCCGTGCCGGCGTTCCTGGCCGCGCTGGTGCAGTGTTTCGACTGGGAGGTGCCAAATCCGCCGCTGGACATGGAGGAGGAAGCGGGGCTGGTCACCGCGAGGAAACAGCCGCTCGTCCTCCTGCCCACGCAGCGCCTCCATCCACTGCCCCTTCCTTAAATGCTTCCATGGATCCCGGGTCCGAGACCCCGATTGTATCACACTCATTTTACAGAGGCTTCCTTTTTTTTTTTGAACCTGCAACGAACCACGAGAGTATCTCCGGTCCTAAACTTAATAATGGTGGTCGCGTTTTTCTAAATTTATTTTAGTCTCTTCGACGATGTGTGTTCAGTGCGAGGATTGCAAAGATGTATCAGCTGAGTTTCTTGAAAATGGTCATAGTGTAGGATGTGTGTGCATGAGTTCACGGAGGTAAGTGTATGTGCGTATGTATGAGTGTCTGTGTACATAGCGTGTTCAAATGAATAAATGTTTCTTTTTTAGCGTCATAGCTTGGTATCATCTCATTAAGTATCATATACTTAATCATCTCTTTTCGTATTTAATTGTGTGTCACATCAGCAAAAATACCTCAGTATTCCTTTTTCGCATAGAAATATGTATCTCATTTATATCATATATATCATAATACAAGCCACATAGACACCGACATGACAAAACTAAAAGGACAACAAAACGATAGTCTTTGGAACACCAGCTAAAAAGAAAAATTACAATTAAGACCGAAGAATCCCCTGAGCTTGACACCAACGTCACTCACCTGCATCTCGCACCACCACGAGAGCCACCAAAGAAATAAAATGACGGATCACCTCCTCACCCGAGCTCGACGCGGCTCCATCATTGATATGCAGTTTTGTGGACCCCCAAGATGGCTCACCACAGGCGAAGTCATTGCCATTGAACGAATCAGACCGGGGCAACACCCCGAACACGCCATCAGACTCCATATTTGTCACCCCCACACGACTAAGATGCCGGAGGAGGAAACCATACCTGCCAGTCACAAACCACGAATCCAACACGCGATCCACCATCTTTTAGATGTCGCCGATGTAGACCAAAATCTGCGTCTTCTCCTGGACTACCTCCTAAGCTCCCGGCCAACGCTGGAGCAAACGTCGTCGCCGCCATGCCATCCTTGAGATGATCGCCTCGTCGGGAAAGGATTTGTAGCTTCTTTATTCGGTGCCGCCATCGCCTCCGCCAAAGCTAACAACTAGGGCATAAAACATGAAGCTACAAGATCAACAAGCATGGATCTGGCGACCATCCTCACCACTGACGCTTGAGTCCGTCCGTGAAGGGGAGCCTGGGGAGGACGGCGGTGGAAGGAAACTCTCCTAGCAGGTGCCGACATCGCCTTTTCTCTCTTTGTGGGGAAGAAAGAAAAGCGAGATGTTTCAATGTTATTGCTACCTATACTACACTACACCCATCCTGACTAGCCTCAGCCTAGGATTGTGAAACTCTGAAGGGACTGAAATGGAGAATTGACAAGTTAACAAAAGAATTAGACAAACTGAGGTGTGGCCCTTTGAATGTGGAATCCTGCTCTCGGCAAAAGGAACTTATTGTGCTCATTGATAATCTTTTGGATCAAGAAGACATTTTACGGTTACAAAGAGGTCGAGCAAATTGGTTGATGCACGGGGACCATAATACCTCTTTTCTCAATAATGTGGCCATGACCAGGAAAAAAGAAATCACATTAAGAAACTTCTTGATGATTCTAGGGTTCGTCGGCAAGGTACGGAATTAAAGCTTTCCACCTCAGAAATTTTGCAACCTAACCAGGAGATTTTGTCCTTTGTTCGGAGAAGAGTGTCTACTGAGATGAAAAACACCCTCCTTACTCCTTATAATGTTGAAGATGTCTATAAGGCTTTGTTCGATATTGGTGATTTAAAAGTCCCAATACCAAATGGGCTTAACGCTATTTTCATAAAAAAATTTGGCCCATGTTAGGGGACGATCTTATTGAGGAGGTTTTGCAAGTGGTTAATACTTGTACTATTCCATCTAGTTGGAATGACATGGCGATTGTGACACCCCTAAGGTTAATTCTCTAGAAAAGGTAACCCAATTTAGGCCGATCAGCTTGTGTAGTGCGGTGTATAAAATAATTGCAAAATAGTGGCTTCTGATTTGAAGGTTTTCCTACCTCATATTATTAGTCTGACTCAAAGTGCTTTCGCGACTGAAAGATTGATTCCTGATAGGGTTTTAGTGGCTTACGAGTGCTTCAATACAATTAAGAATAGAGAGAAGGCAAAGAGGCCCTGTGTGCTATAAAACTTGATATGCACAAAGCTTATGACTGGGTTGAATGGCCTTTCCTGAAGGAGATTATGCTGAAACTAGGCTTCCATGAGAACTGGGTAAATTTTATTATGGAATGTGTTTCCACTGTTAAATACCGAATTTGTTTTAGTGTGGAGGAAAGTGAATGTTTTCACCCTACAAGGGGTTTAAGGCATGGAGATCCTCTGTCTCCTTATTTTCTTGTTATGTACGGAGGGTCTGACTACTCTATTGACACATGTGAAGGAAAATGGAAATTTCAGGAGTGCAAGTTTGCAGAGATGCCCCACCTTTTACCAATCTTCTCTTTGCTGATGACGCATGATACTTATCAAAGCTAATTTGCACAATGTAGAGGTGTTGAAATAAGTTCCCGATTCACATTGCATTGCCTCGGGGCAGATGGTTGATGCGTCTCAAACATATATTTAATTTGTGATTGTTTCATGCTATTATAATATCACTTTTGGATACTTATCATAGCAATTTTACTATTTTTCTTGAGTAACCTATTAATTTAGTGCATAGAGCCAGTTGTTGTTTTCTGCATGGTTGGAACTTTTTGAAAATCAGTGTCTATAGAGGTAAAAAAACCTAGGGGTTTAATATAATATTTTTTCCAAGACATGAGGAGTGTAGAAAGTGCTAGAAGCTGCGGGGCACCCATGGGCCCCATGCGGCCAGGGGGTGTAACGACCAGACCTCAGACGGTCAAGTCTCTGTGCATCAGTGTCATCCCTGGATCGGTAATGCTGACACGCACAGTACTCGAGGAATTATAACAGAGTTTCAATCACACACTTATTACATTGAGTCCTCATAAAGAGTATGATTACAAAAATATCATGGCTGAAGGCCATCTAAACTAGATAACTGCGGAAGCTTCGAAGGTAAATGAGTCCATCAACTCCAATGGCATAGCTGAGTGCAAAACAACGACCTATCGCACCTTATTCGTCGTCTGAGTAGTCTGCAACATAAGACGTTGCAACCCGAAACGGGTCAGCACATGGAATATGCTGGCATAGTTACACTGTAAAGCAATGAAATGCAAGAGCTATATCTACATGCAATATTTGGCTGGTGGAGGCTGTAAGTTTCATGATTTTGCATAAAGCTAGTTTTTCCCTACAACAAAGGATTAAATTTATTTAACTACTCCCATGTTGCCCATTATTTGAGAAGGTAACCCCTACTCAAATCCCAATGAAAAGTATCATCGTTAATCCAACTCAATTTAATTAAAGGAGCGTGATGAGATCACATCAATAGATTCAAGTACTAGATACTTAAGATGTCCATAACCGGGGACACAGCTAACCATGATTAGTTTATACACTCTGCAGAGGTTTGCGCACTTTTCCCCACAAGACTCGACCGCATCCATGATCGGATGATCGAGACATAGCCTTTCTGAAGCATTAACTCTCTACTCCGGGTAGACAGTACCATCCTACTTTCCCCTACATCTGCTAGTCTATCTCTTCAAGAGCTCACGCAACTTAGTCAACTATGCAGAGCCCATAATGGCTTGTGGCTGCACATGGGAGTTTCTAGCATGAATAATCTTATGATCCCTTTGACCCTAGGTGGCATTCCATAGGATAATCACACGGGTACTCCGGGATTTCCAAAAACAGGCAACACTGGTTCCCCAGGTGCCTCAACCAATCCACCCAGATGTATATTAAAGTTGCCACCTTAATGTTATCCATGATTAAATAACTCTCAAACTTCCATGTGTGAATCACCATCCAATCCCCGTCTACGAGCATGGCTAAGCAATAATAAGCATAACGTATATTTTCGGGGTGATCAACAGGTATTAGGTTCCTACCTCAAGCACTACAACCAAAACCACATGTTCCCAATCCCACTCATGCAAATATTTGAGGAACAATACTAATGCATAGTAAAAACTAGGTATAAAAGAGTATGATCAAAGTGTAACTTGCCTTGCTGACGATCTGCAAACTCTAGAGATTCGTAGTAACAAGCTTCACACTCCAGGAAATCTAGCATGGACAAACAATAGCATACATAAGCAATCACTCAATCGAAACACGAGAAAAATTGAGAAAAGATCCAAACCGAACACGAAACAAGCAAACTGCTTAAACTAATAAGAGTCAAAACCTAATAGCAATATTAACATGTGAATTATATCTTAACAGTAGGTACAAGGGATTAGCTACGATTTGCAAAAAAATTCAACTCAAACGGAGCAACGAAACTCAAAATACGAATAAAACAAGATCGTTTACTAATCTGGACTAAACTCAATTTTTTTACAGTACCAAAATCATGTTCAAGTTGGTTAACTAGAAAGACCAGAACAAAACGAAGATTTTGCCGCTGGTTTCATCTAATTTGGATAAACGAGTAAAAAGTTATGCTAGTTTAAAGATCAGGGGTTAAATCACGATAAAAATAATCATGGATAAGTCCTTGGCTGAAAATAAACTAAAAGGAAAAAGACTACCGAACGAACGTTCGCTGTCTGAACTAATTCGACGAAAAATGTTCATTAAAACGAACGAAAGGACGAACGTCCGCTAATTAAAATAAACCGAACCAAAAACCGATCTAATCAACAAAACCGCAAAAACCTAAAAAACCGGGCGATCCGGTTCGTATCGGTTCGAGAAAACCGGCGGCGGTGGCGGGGTCAACGGCGGCGTCGGCGAACGGTGAGGTGGGCGGCGTCGGCGAACGGCGAGGTGGGCGGCGGCGGCGGCGCAAGCGGGCGGCGGCGGCGTGGCAGCAGCGGCGGTGGCTGCGGCGGCGGGGTGGCGAGGAGGCGGCGGGGTCGGCGCCTTATAAATGCCCGAGGGGGGGTTGCCTTGCGGGAG